TGTCACTAATAAAAAAAAAAACATTATATTTCTACATAATCTTGATTCCATAAGAGTCATATTCAATTTTTTTAAAGGAATAAATATTAAAATTATCTCCTTACAACGAAACCACATCAATGTGAATTAATTATTGATAACATGCATCTCCTCGGAAAGTAAGCATTATTTTATTTTGCGATTGACACTAATGGATAGGCAATTTATTAATGAACGTTTATATCATAATTTTTTTGAAAAGACCTAAATTTGATTTTATTAAGACTTTATTTTAAAAACTGGACGTATTTATTGCCTACAGAGTTGCTGGAGTAAGAGAGCGCTAAGCTCTTGAAGGTGAAACCCATGTCGTTAGTCACTGCGTCGGCCAGCGCACACGCTCACGTCATCTTATCAGTCGATAATATTATAATATTGTTACTTATTAGGTTATTTATAGGTAGTATTATTTATTTGTTTTGGGTATAATGTTTCGTATTAGTTATACATATATTTGTGTTGTTTTTTACTGCGCGATGAAGCTTTTTGCGTGTATTTTCTTTGAAGTAAATGCAAATATAAAAATTAAGTACCTACCATTAGCATGTAAGGTTTGGTTTGAATTAGGCGTTTAATTTGGTCTATGGTCGTCTAATGAGACCCGGTCGGGCATGTCGGCCTATAAGCGACTAATTCGGCCTGGGCGTCTAAGTTGGCCTATCTGCGGCATTGCGGGTTATTACCCGACTCTCTAATCGAAATAGAGAGGAATTATCTTGGCAGAGGTCGCCCGTCCGGGGCTATAATTAACATTCCGACAAATATTATAATTTACACTATAAAAAGCTAATTCAATATTATCAGTATAGTGTACAATTAAAAATAATCCCAATATCTAACCACAATATCTTAGTAAGTATAGTAATTCGGTAAAAAGTACCTATGTAGGTACTTTTTACCGAATTACTATTATTATTATTATTTTTATTATGGTTAGATAAGAGTTACTTATCTAAATAGTTACCTACTTTTACTAAGTAAGTACTAATAACCCGGGCATCATTTAATTACAACCCAAAAACCCCTATAACTAAACTGACCATTTATTTTTTAACTCAAAACGGGACATGGGTATTTATTATTTATACTCTAAAAACTATAACTTTATACAATTAGTGTTCACTATAAAATCATATTCGGTATAGACGGTAATTATTTAATGCAACATATTTCTTTTTATTATTAATTACATTTGTCAGTGGATTAAATTTGCTTTAATAAAGTTGGTGATGATTTTAAATAAGAATAAAATTCAGGGCAAGTTTTTTTATTGTTACCTTTGTTAACAACAGCGCCTTTAGAACTGGAACCGTAAGTGTTTTTTTCAGACGTCCACAATTTATTCAAAATAGAAAAATACTCTTTTTACTGGAGCATTTGTACCAGGTAGACAAAATATATTCGATTAAAAAAAATATGTTGAAGATTGTTGGCTTTGAATACTTCCATCTAATGAGTTACGGGAAAATTTTGTGTCCCGGAGCTTTATTTGGGGACAATGGGACAGGTGACCGAGAAAACGGACAGTCCCGTTCAAAACGGGACGTATGGTCACTTCACCTATAAACCGGCGACGGCTCCGTGGCGCAGTGGCTTAGCAATCAGTTGTTGCGCTGGGGGCCACAGGTTCGAATCTCGCACGGAACAAGTATTTGTATGGCCTACCAATAATTGTTCCGGGTCTGGATGTTTGTCCTTGTGCAATTATGTTTGTAAACTGCCTCCACGACACAGGAGAAAATCCTAGTGTAGGGTGACTTTTTTTTAAATTGAAATTGAAAGATCGAACTCTTATACTTCTTGTTGATTTTTTTATTACCTTTATTAAAGTTATCCTTATGTATAAATAAATATAATTACGTATGTAGAAATAAAATTGAATAAAAATAAAAACCAACATGTTTTTTTTCATCATCATCAATCATTGGGGTGAGGATCATGTCAGCCAGCATAAGTAATAAGCAGGCTAAGTTACAAGGTGCTCAGTTCAAAAATTAGTAGGTAGGTATATTACTTTTCAATACGTGACACGTAAAAATTAACAATAATCAAAAACACATCTGCGAAACATCCTATTTATTTATTTATTCTATATTTCACCAAATATTTGTACGAAAGGCGAGCAATCTATCTATTTACCTATAGTGAGTAGGTATCTTTTAAACTCACAATTTTCAATGCATCATTTTTAATATATAATTAATTATAAAATTTCATAATTAGATAATATATGAGAATACATAATTCTAATATAATGCAACTAATATACCGAATAAAAAAATTAAAATAAATTTATCGTTGTACGCCGTGTATTTCCATAAAATAGTTTATTGATGTTGAAAAAATAATACTACGTTCGTACAGTAGGTGGCGTCTTGCATATTTCTTACGCAATATATTGTAGCGAGTCAGCGCAGCGGACCGAATGCTCAAGGTCGTTCGCATGGAGTAGCCCCTTAAATTCAAAGCTAGGAGCACAGGCTTACGTTTAGCCCGGTACGAACAGAGACTGCCGATTATGTGCTAAAGCAGGCCATGCCTGCCAGAACTTAAAAATTACCGGACACGTGTAATGGCCACTACACACATTTAAATTACCACATGCCCAGTTCCAACATATTCACATAGACATAATTGGACCTTTTCCACTATCAAAAGAATTTCGGTATTGTTTGATAGATTCACACAAATCATCACACAAGAAACAATCCTTTTAATGAACATTACTACGGATTTTGCTGCTTAGGCCTGTTACTAGGTTGGATTTCGCGATTTCGATGTTCTGCGAAAATAATAACCGATTAGGGAAAGTAGTTCGTTTCAGACTCAATAGGTTTCCAACACTAGAAAACAACTGCTTATCATCCTGCATGTGGAAAGAATGCACATTTTTTATAGGATAAGGGTGACAAGGGAGCACACAGTCCACCTGATGGTATGTGTTTGCTGTGGCCCATAATATACATCTACATCTATCCTCGTTTGCGAATCTTAATGAAGATGCGTTGTCAACCTTGAGGACTAAGATGGAATGCCTCGTTTCTAGTAAAAAGCTGTAGCTAGTAGTAGCTGCAGCATGGCTCTACCATGTATAAATTTTAATGTTAATTTCTCCTTTCAATATATTTAAATAAAATAAAGGTAAACACCAAAAGTGAAACAAGGACGTTATAACTAAGAGGCAGATGTTGTGGGTGTACATAAATTTACACATATAATCAAATATTTAGAAGACAAACTTGTGTCTGAAATCGAGTCTTTGCTTAACAAAGTCTCGGATTGGGGTCGACTAAATCTAGTCCAGTTCAATCCCCAGAAGACACAAGTTTGCGCGTTTACCGCTAAAAAGAACCCCTTTGTCGTATCTCCTCAGTTTCAAGGCACTCCCCTTGCTGCCTCAGCTAGTATCAGAATCCTTGGCGTCGACATATCGAATAGTGAGCAGTTTCGTGGTCACATGGAAGGGAAGGCTAAATTGGCCTCTAAAAAGCTTGGCGTGCTCAGCAGAGCGAGATAGTATTTCATGCCGGCACATCGATTGCAACTTTACAAAGCGCAAGTTCGGCCCCACATGGAATACTGTTCTCATCTCTGGGCCGGGGCACCCCAGTGCCAGCTCCTTCCACTTGACCGCATCCAGCGCAGAGCGGTTCGAATCGTCGACGACCGAGTTCTTTCTGATCGGCTCGATACACTGGCACTGCGTAGAGATGTTGCATCTCTTTGCGTATTTTATCGCATCTATCGCGGGGAGTTCTCTGAGGAATTGTTCGGACTAATTCCAGCCGCTCAATTTCACCATCGCACATCGCGACAAAACTCGCGTTACTATCCATATCATCTGGATGATTGGTGGTCCACCACTGTGCGATTTAGAAGTAGTTTTCTCCATCGCACAACTTCTTTGTGGAATCAATAACCACCAGCGAATTTTCCGGACCGATACGACTTAGGAACCTTCAAGAAAAGAGCTTACACCTTTCTAAAAGGCCGGCAACGCATCTGCAATTCCCCTGGTGTTGCGGTTGTTCATGGGCGGTGGTAGTCACTTACCATCAGGTGAGCCGCATGCCCGTTTGCCCCCTCTTCTATAAAAAAAAGGCTTATGTTTGAATTTATCTGTGGACATGTAAAGTATAACTAGGTTTAAGATATTTTTATATTATAAACATAAATTGAACAAATAAAAAAAAATGAGTCAAACGTAATTATGACTCATTCTAAGGACCTTTTCTAATTTTTGAATTTGAACGGATTTTATGATGTTTGCAGCCTCATAATTAGAATAATTGTGAGTTCTTATAATAAACAATCAATCTAATAAACACTACAGTAGAAATTGCACCTACAAGGACATGAGAGAAAATCGATATGACGAACGTGCCATGAGCTGAAATTATAGTATCTAAAACAGGTGAAATAGCAGTGCGCAGCTAGTGAACATATATTTTTATATAAAATCATTAATTATTTTACAAAGAAAGACAATAACATATCGATCAAGTAGTTGCAGTTTAAGATGTAATACATAAAAAGTTAAAACTTATTATTGTACGGTTTGATAGACCGTTTATAATGTTAAGAAATGTTAAATTAATTATCTAGTATAAGTTTAAGTCGGCCAATTAATGAAATTCATTGATTAGCATAGGACTATCTCTAGTTGTGATTTATAGTTCATTTTTTGTTTTTTAAAAATTGTACTATGAACATAGCTACTTATTTAAATGTAGTTAATACAAAAGCCAGTTAAGTTTTCACTAAGAAATACTTTACGTACTTGATCATTAGACAGAAAAATTGATATCCCAAAATCCTAAGTTTTCACATAAAATTTGGCAAATCATTTAGGCAAAGTTATATCAGATTGACGTTTAAATAGAAAAGATAATGAAAATATCAAAATTAGGCACTTTCTTGCTGCATTTGTTAAAGGAATTGACAATTTTTTTTTATTTTAGGTGTGGCTGCTGTAGCGGGTGTTTTTTTACTTTTAGGAGTTGGAATGATTGTGGGTTGCCTAATATTGATTTTGGAACACCTTTTTTACAAGTATACGTTACCGATTCTACGTCATCAGCCAAAAGGAACAATATGGCGAAGTAGAAATATTATGTTTTTTAGTCAGGTAAGTTACATCAAATTTCGATGACGGCGACCCTAGAAATCAGGATATTTTCTTGCCATGAGCCCTGATATGGCCTGCTAGATAGAATTTGCTCCTATAAGCTATTTGACATGCATGGCAGTAGAGTTGTCTTGCTGAGTTGTAGGTGTATGTGTAGGAGGGCCTTGGTCTCTCTTTGTTACGTATAGTGAGTAGTGAAGCAACTACTTGCTTCATACTGTACAGACTAGATACTCTCACTTGTAGGAGGGCGCAACCGTCATACAAGCAACCATAACTACGTACATATATAAAATTTAGTTTGAAAGGGTTATGAAATCTATTGTCAAACAATTTAAACAGGAAATTATATAATATTGCGTATATAGTTAGCATAACACAAGTCTGTATCAGTCTGAATCATACTTAAGAACTGGTTAATATTAGTAAAAAAATACATAGGGACAAGTGCTTTGTGAAGATAGAAACGCCTATCACGACAATTAAGATTAATAAAAAAATCATAAAGATGATATCAAATATCAGGTAATTTGCCGAGATTCCACAATGAAACCCGTGTAAACGTTATATGAAATGAAAACATTACATCTAAAAATAAATAATCCACCATCCAGTTCCCGCGAAGACATTCAAGGTTGGATGTACGTTGTTTGTTCTAAAATTCTCCCAATTTTGGTATTAATAAGGTCGATAACAGTGGGAAAAGAGAATTATACCACCTTTCGACAAAAGGGCCTTATGTGCAGATTTAAACGAATACAATACTGTGGACTTTTGCTACTCCCAATCGCTTATTGAAAATGAGAACACGTCTGTCAGTAACACCTAATTAGCCTTCCCATACTATTCATCGGCATATAAAAATCTGGTTTCGCAGTTATTGCAATGTTAAACAGACAAGATTGTCACATGACAGAGTTTCATACGAAACTTTCAATGTCATTCGATTTTACAGGAATTTAATTTGTGTCACTAAAAATTATTTATAAATATTAAAAACAATAAATCGCAGAAACAGGGTCACAGATAAGTTAAAATAATTAATTAATTAATAATAATAATAATAATAATAAATATAAGTAGAAATCAAATTTTAATCTAGACTAATTTATAATTGAGCTGAATGGTACATACAGTATCATTTTGACTCTCGGGAGAAAAAGATGTTACAAAAACGGAGTTTTATTTTTCCTTTGATAAGAAATTTCATTTTACTTTATTTTAATTCTTTAGTTTTCTCTTATGTCACCTATAGATACGATTATGTCACAGATTACTCCACAGTTTTCCTGTCATCCTACAACTGCATTAAGCTTGCAAAAACCTTAAAGATACCGCATTTACCCTACTCAAACGTAAACAAACACCGTTTCTAGTAGGATTACGTTAAGCGAACCGCAGTACAGTGCAGCTTTTAACAGTAAACGAGATATTTGTCTGTGCTGGCTATACTTAATCTTCTTAAATTGCCTTTGTAATGCGTATGTAATCTTGTATAACTTTCTCATGGATTACACTTTCTAATTCTCAGCTAATGTGTCGTCCTTTTTGTTTAATTTGTTACAGAAGTTATACAGATTCATAAATTGTGTTGAATTAGTATCTCCACATCACGCAGCACGTGAATTAGTAAACACTATTCGTCAAGGACATTTTACATCTCTTTTCCAAAAGAGTGTGAAAAGGGTATGATTTATAAAATAACTTAAATTACCTTGTCACTTAAAAATGGGTAATGATATGAAAGCACATTTGTTTCAGAAGGAACACGAGCAACGTAGGAGAAGAAAAAGTAAAGCACAGTTCTTTGAAATGATACAAGAAATAAGAAGGTTTATTTGCTGTTTATTTTCATTTATAATACTTCAAATTAAAATAAGATTTAAATAAAATTTTGTATGTCTTTTTAGGGTTCAGCAGAGACGAGATCACTCCTTGGATTCTATTAAGGAGAATATTGCTATAGAAACTTCAGAAGTATTAGAAGAAATAACCGAATCAAAATTCTTATCACCTTCACCTGATGTATCTAGCCGCTCGCCTCGACAAGGTCATTCACCTAGGCAGCTACGCTCACCCAAAACTCGTAGAAAAAGATGCAGTCTTGCTGGATTAAATGTAAGAAGGTTTAGTACAGATTCAGTTTTAGAATCAGACACAGCCTCATTTTATGAAAAGACAAGTTTAAATATTGGCAGGAGACTTAGCCGAGATGTAAGTTGCTTAACGAATTCTCCTCCTGACATTAACAGTCGGCTTCGTACACCATCGCCCATGGTCCTTCGAGCAGATTCCTGTTCCACTCGATCTTACCAAGATGTTTCAGAACGGACAGATAAATTTTTAAGTATTAATCCACCTTCACATAGAGCAAGTGTTGAAATCATGGTTACACAAGAGAATGATTTGCCACCTGCCCCGCCTTATCCAAAAGTTTCAATAACGGGAACTAGGTCAGAATTATCTCGGCTATCAGAAGAAGAGCTTATAAGATTGTGGCGAAGCTCAGAAAGAGAAGTCAGAGAATCACTTTTAGCAGCGTTGCAAGAGAAACGTGCTAGTTTAGACCCAAAACTAGATCCCGGGTGAAGAAAATGTTTATATTTTGATCTGGAAAAGAAATTGTGTGTAGAAATGTTCATCTCATGTTTCTCATTACAAGCGAAGATAAATGAGATTTGGAGTACATAGAAGAATATGCTAGGTGGGGATGAAGCTGGTGCCTTTTTTACATTGTTTGATGCGGACTAGTCTATTAGAACTATTTTAACGATCGGTGTTCATTTGAGTGTCTTCATACAAGTACATGATATATTTATTGTATTTGAAAAGCTGCCTTATTTTAAATTAAATTTTTTCAACTTAAATTCGCGTCAAACAATTTAATGAACGGTACGTTTAATTTATATTGAATAGTCAGAGAAATTTACGTCCATAAATTATATTAATAAGCGATAATTAGTAAAAATATCGTAGTTACTATTATAATTAGAGTCTAAATAATATCATATAAAATGTGTAATATCTATGACCACAAAATTTTGAGTGCTTTATCCTAAACTTAGCGATGTTGCGTGTTAGTCATTAAAATTGCTTAGTTCGTCCAAGTAGAAGTTTCGTATGTACTTAATTTATGGAATAGTAAGCTATAACGACGCATGCTATTGGCTTCATTTTTACATTTTATTTCAATTAATTTTTCATTAAGAATCCTTTCTGCAATGGAATCGTCAAAACGCAAACCTGAATTTACATAACAGTTTTTGATGGTAAGGATTTAAAAAAAAAAAACTTAAGTTTTTTTCTCACAAGCCAGTGCTTGACTAGAATCCAACCTGGTTTGGTAAACGGTGATGAAAGTGTTAAATCTCACCGTTATAGTGTGACAAAATTAAATTATAACTATGAAATTATAATCATGCATATAGTTTTTGTAAAATACTCCTTACATAACTACCTTAACACTTATTATATCACTTTTAAACATTAAACATGCTAAAACCTAGTAAATTTTCTCCAAGATATTTCTTTTTGTGTATATTTATGCACTTTCATTTACAACACGTTTGTTTCCTATTATACTTATATTTTTAGTTAATTGCGTTTCTTAATGCATGTATGGTTCAAAAATATTTTTTGATGTTTGAAATTCCTGATTTTTGTGATTCGAATCGCGAAACTAAATCAAATAGAAGTTTTTTTTTTAATGTAATCTCGACAATATTCCTTCTCATTAAATGTCTTATTACACGCTACTTTATTACAATATGTACTTTTAATCATATGAATAGTAACAAAATCGTACCTATTTTAGCTAATAATATACCTAATCTTAAAAAGTGAAACAATATAAACTGCCATTGATTTTAGTATTTAATGCATAATCTAAGTACACGATTTTTCTTAGAATTGCACCTTAGTAATCTGACTTTATAAACTACTCTCTCTATCACATGTACCTCACTATAATAATAATCCAATAGTTTTAACTATAAAGTTTTTGAACAAGTGAAAAATGTACTATAGTTTAATGAAATTCTAAGCAATATTTTATTAATAAGGTATCTACATCATGTAATATATATACAGTATAATAATATTGTATACATTCGATGTACATGTTATCTACATAATTTCTAGAAATTGTATAAAATAACAATTTCGCTTAGAAAACGTGTAACATATTTTTAATAGAAACATTCTTACATACGTATACAGTACAGTACCTACCTAGGAAATTTATAGAATTCCTAAGTATTTTTTTTTAATTACTAACCTATCTTAGATATTTTAATCGATCGTACGTCGCCTGAATTCACTGTTACTGGAGGGTCAACAACATCCACATCCGCCTGTTGCGCCGCATCTTCTGGAGCCGTTAGTTTCAAGGAGATAATAGTCTTACGACGTAGTCGTTCGAGTTCGGCATCATTAAATGTTTTGAGCACATGATGTACCCAACTCGGCCAGTACATCGTTTTGCTCCGTGACGATAATAGATGGCGCCAGCTCAGTAAACCAGCGGTGCATCCTAGCCCAGAAAGCAAAACCACCACCTTCTACCCTATTCGCCTTTAAGTACGCTTTCAATTAATTCTTATTTATTTGTGTTGATCAGCGCATGTGGCGTATACTGCCAGCAAGCTGGGAACTTCAGGGTCTGGAAAAACCAGGCAATCAGTACCAAGTCCGTCAATTGAACGTCAGTTGACGGCTCAGTGGCGCAGAGGCTTAGCAATGAGTTGTTGCGCGGGGGGCCGCGGGCACGGAACAAGTATTTGTATAACCTACAAATAATTGTTCCGGGTCTGGATTTTTGTCTTCGTGCAATTTATGTTTGTAAACTGCCTCCACGAAACAGGAGAAAATCCTAGTGCGGGGGGAGGCTTTTTTTAAACAAAAAAAGGAAATAAAAAATGAAATGAAATGAAAAAAATTAAAGCTGGCTGAAATGATGTGATATTGGTGGTTATAGGTGATATCGGTTGATTATGGAACAAGGTGATATTGGGTAGTTAAATACTTGCGGTCGGTTCATGTCCGACATACTGCCGCGTTGTGTTTCATCTATAGACGTGCCCTGGTGGCCCCCAGGCAGCAGCCCTGAGTACTTTTTATTTTTCTATTATCGATTTTCGGGCGTCAGCTGACAGGAAAGGTCCGGAAACGGCACCGTTTTATCAAAATTGGCCATAAACAAAGCCGGCCATTGCACCCTGAATTCGCTGAGATAGGTCGCTAATACCTATTGACATGTTCTTGGTCTTGGTTTGGTGCTGACTTACTGTACCGACGTAAACTCTTTTGCCAACGCCAGCTGGCGATGGCGTTGTCACTCTCTTCATCAATCCTTCCCAATGATAAAAAAAATAATATAAAATGAAAGAAACGACCGAGGATTAGAAATAAAGGGAATGAAGACGGCAAATTACGCGGGAAATATTATTATTATTATGTTTATACGGTACAAGATCAGAATATTAACCTCCTGAGACCCAGAAGAAATTAAGACTTTGTTGTTAGACCCAATCTACTAATATTAGTCATAACTAATGTAGTCCCATAGACCCACGCATAAAAATGTTAATATTTCTTTAATGAACAAACATTTTCTTTAGATGTTTATTGGGTGTTTTTATACTAACCATAGGATGTATCTTACCCTATGTACGGCGTATTTTTGATGGTATGGGTATCACAACTGGCCGTCCTCGCTATCTCATTATTAATTCTTCTTCACCATCAATTCTGTCTTAGTCTTGTGACTGCTGTTTGATTAGCTTTCTGAACGATAATTGTGACAAGGCCTATTCAAAAGAGATCTGTCAAATTTTACATAGATTTTATATAAGATGGATATTTGACACATCATCATCATCATTATGATTTTATATAAGATGAATATTTGACACACCTCGTTCCAAATAAGAAGGCCCAGACAGAAAGGGAATGTTCAATCTACAGTTCTTCTTTGTCGCACCTTTCTGAATTTTCGTTATTATGAGCAGAACAACGGGAAGAGTCACCTCTGATTCTTGACTGCATTTTCCTACTACGCGGTTGTCTTGAGTATGACCAACAACGAAAAAGTATACTAGCTCGTTGCTGTCCCCACCCTTGTGGTCTCGAACTTATTGTAGTAGAGATTTTACCTACTACCTCTTACTACTTTCTGATTCCGACCTCACGACATTTTTCTGTGTCATCGGGAATATATTCATCACTATCGCCAATTTGCGCAGCATACTTTGTTCATCGTCATCTTTGTAGTACGAAATATGGAGTATTTCGGCAATTTGGTAATCATTTATAACTGTACGGAAACATATTACTTGCGTAAGACTAATCTATTGTTAAAAACATGAGAGTTAACGTCAAAAATTTCATCATGGTCCAAGAGTAAATGCCCAAAGCACTAGTACTAGTACTACAAACATTGGGCAAGGCTCGGCGTAAAAGCCGGATTTAGTAGTATTAGAACAAAAAAACTCAATTTGAAAATGTTCGGACCTGTTAATGAAATATAAGCTAAATAATACTTATTACTATATGTTAATACATCAATTAATGAAGAAGTAAACAAAGCATATCGTATATTTTGAAGATTTTATAAATAATAATAGATTATGACTTACCTCTTTTCGATGGACGTAACATCTTCGTTGTTTTGACAAAATGACGGATATACTTCCCGCTCCACCTCATTAAACTTAGTAAAATTAATATTACTATCCTAAAGATTTTCAAAAATATACACACGAATACATCAAACTACTGGGGCGCGAAATACAAACGACGAAAAATTAAGTTCTAGTAATAGAACTTTAGGTGAAAAACAAAGTTGTTTTATCAAGTTCGGGTCTAAATGACTTGTCGATTTTGTTCTAGTATTATCACGCGGGGTCTCTTGAGGTTAAGATCAAAAAGTGTAGGCGATACATCCTATACGATAGCATCGTCGACATTTTTTCACCGGTTGTTCAGCGCTTTTTAGCCTGAGTATAGAGAGATATAACTTAGTAGTCAGGTAGTAGTTACCATAAGTACATGGCGGAGGACGTGCTCGAAAACAAATCCACGGAAGTAGATGACAATAAGTATTTCACAGTACTTGAGCAACGCAGATTTGATTTGATTAACTGCTGATTTACCACATGCTCGGCGGTGAAGAAAATTTATTTTATTTGGCAATATATGAAAGAGATTAATTAGCCGTACCGGACTGTATACCCGCGCCCAAAAATCTTAAGTCGGTCTTCTTTCCGCTTTATTAAACAGAATTAAAAGGGATTTAAATTATAAAGCTTTATGTTTGAAATTTGAATGACGGCTATTGACGAGTAATAAGAAGGGATTATTCACCAATATATTGACGAGGAAAATTAAAATTAGAAATCGTAATAGTATTATAAATGACAACCATCTATTTTATTACTGATCCTGTTTTAGTCTTCAAAGTTTAGGTTTTTTTTGACACAAATATTAGGAATGCAACTTAAAGCAATTCCAGCTTAAATTAAATTTCGTTAATTTTGTATCTTCGCCGAAATTATTAAACAACCAAAATGACAATGCCAGAATTCCATATA